TATTGACAAGTACAATAGAGTTAATTCAAGCAAAAGTGTTCAAAACTGATTAAACCTATTCAATTCCGTCAATTTAAAATGCCATTCTTAGTTAATTTGTTTTTCTAAAGTATAAAATTGAAAAAATTGCTGGTCAATTCAGTTCAGTTTAGCTACGGTTTCAACCAGTTCTTAGCCAAGCAATTGAATGGATTGGCTCAATTTTCAAAAGAACGATTTCAACTAGTTAAATGAACCGATACGTCGGTTTTGGCCAAAAAGGAACCTGCTTGCACTCGAGCATCTATTGCAGTAACACATCGAGTTGAGCTAAATCAATTAGAAGTTTACTATCTCAGAGTCTCAAATGGCAAAATTGGTGAAAAACTTTAACAGAAAAAAAGGGGCAGTAGGAGATATCTCACTAATTGTGCAGATAACCAGTTCTATGCCTTTTGAATCTCTTTGTACAATCTTGAAGCAAAAATGATCTATAAATTACAGTTATCTTTTTTACTGGAGAAAGAATCTGAGAATTTGAGTGTAATGTGAGCATAGTGGCACCTGTACTAAGATGGGGACTAAAACAGTTACCAGGCTATTTATTTACATAAAAGATGCATACTGGTTATAGCTAAAGTAGCAAAATATCCCTCAGCAATTCGATTTCCTAAGAGATGTTGAAAATACGCAATTACCTAACTCGTAGTATCATCGGTCTCTCGAGCGTAGGAAGCTAGGGACCAAATCAGAAAAATCGCTAAAGAATCAAAGAATCTTTTAAGCTTTTTTGGTGCTGCTGGATTTAGAGTCAACGCGGAGTGTCTTGTTTGAGAAGCAATGGCGCACGCGGACGTTGTGATTGTGTGATCGTGTCGAGCAACTTCCACGTATAGTGACAGTTAACATAACCTCCTTATCTCGTGTGTCTTCGCACCACCAGTTTTGTGGGATGCCATCAACAAACTCTTCCAGGGTGTGGGATTCTTCATGGTGCACCGATATCTCGACAGATTGTTCGGGTTTAATTATTCCTGCAGCTGGTGTTACCTGCAGTTAAAATGACACAAGAGTAAGAGAAACATTCAGGGAAGAAAGGCTCATTGTGATTTGTACAATCATATTTTAGAAGGGACACCATAGAACTTCCAAAAGGGGGCCAAAAAAAAATCCTGGCAGGAGCCTAATGCATTGGAGCTGCCTTAAATGTAAAGGGGACCGACCCGACCGCGTATATAATTTGAATCATTGATATCTAACAATATGAGGTTTAAATGTCCTAAAATTAGTTGCATTCTTGTCATATTGCAGGAATCCAGGAGAACCATGAACATAATGTAAACTATGCAATACTCAGCTGGATGTTGGATAAAGAAACAAAGTGTGTTATCAAGCATCATTATAAATCCTCTACAAAACCTAGTTATCCTTCCATTCACTTGATCGGATAAGATCGGTCCAAAACCAAATTTCTATATGCTGTTGTGTCTGTATTCTTTCTCTAGATATGGTAATTGGTAATGGTACCCAGGCCAAGAATGGTTTGGTTTCTGAAAATTGCATTGGCATTTACATCTAAGAGTCATAAGACAATATACCTCAAGCCACCGAGGAAAGCCAAAGGCGCCTCTTGGATGATAATCGCGCTCATTGCCTTCTTCCTTGACAGTGGATTGACCTTCGGAGATAATTTTAAAAGTAGCCACATCTTTCACGCATTTGTTGGTTATGGAGAAAACAGATGTCTCCTGGTTTTGCAGAACTATAGTGTCGGTGCTGAGAATGGTTTCCGGAATGTATAACAACTCCTCAAAAATAGATTTCACTTTCTCATTAGTCTTAATAATATCCCCGAACTCTTTTCTCCTTACTGACCTATCAGCATGGGAAATCTTAATATTGAATTTACATCTGACAGGTTTGTGATCACTGTCAGTCACTTCCATGACCGCTTCGTACCTGTGGGTGCATAGAAGTCTCAGAACCAAAAAAATTATGATTGGAAACAACAGAAAACTGCTCCAAAAGCACATACTCACAATAAAACAGATGATACTACAGGGCATTCTAAAGTACTATCAGACGCTGGAGCATATCGATTGTCGCGATATATTACTCTGTCACACCAGGCAGGAATTCGTTTCTTCTCGCCAGCATCGTATCCTGGAAAAGGTATATGAAGAATGTTGACAAATTTAACCACAAATAACATGATGAACCTATTGAGGGAATTATTGATCAGATTCATAAACATGAATGATAATTGATAGATTGCTGAATTTGTTTAGATGGAAACTTCCCCGATCCTATACTTTAAATCCAAACCACCAGTAGTTGGAAAGATCTGATGCTTTCCATAGCCGTATACCTGCTAAGCCGGGCCGGTGCCTTTCAAACTTGTACGTTGGAGGGAATCTAATGAGTGCCTCACGCATGCCTTGGAAAACTTTCCCAGCTTTCATCTCAGCCCTAAGCTGATCTTTTTCCCT